ATTATTAAATACTAAAGAATATATATTTAAAATTTAAAAAAAGGTTTATATGTATAAAATTAGGTGAGTCAACTCATTTGATTTATAAGTAACAGCACTTAGGTAGGATATGTCCTATGACTATTATTTTTATCTTTTCCAATTTCAGTTTCAATTTCGTCAAGAACTTGTTTTAATATTTGTTTATTATTCCGGTCAATTTCTAAAGATTTATTGCTTTCGTCATCAGTCAAATCATCTGCTATTCTTTTATTGTTTTTAGGTTTTCATTCTATGTTACATTGAAAAATCTTAATACTAAAAAAAAATAAATAAATTTGAAATAAAAGATATCTTACTTTGAGTTTCGTTTTTGGATTTTTTTTTTTTGATCTGCATTTAAAGCATCCACTTTCATTTATTTCCTTTTTATGAAATTATTGTAAGTTTTATATCATAAAATTTTTTTTAAAAAAAGTATTATAAATTTTGTACTTTAAGTTTGTTTTCCAAAGAATTAATTTTTTCCTTCATTTTTTCATCTTCTATTTGATGGAAATAATCATTTTCTGGGATCTAAAAATTAATAAATGCATAAATATATAATTAAGAAAAAAGATTTAAGTTAAAACGTTTGTGCCTTACCATACGATAAGCTTCAATTTCAGATTTAGAAATAGTACTAGTAATATCATAATTCCCTCAGTAGCCTCTTAAACAACTTTTTCGGTCATTAGCTTTGCTAAGATTTGCAACGTTTCTTTTTACAATAACATCACCATTATTTTTAAAAGTTATTAATTCAATATCACCAACGTTATTGGTACATTTATATTTTAACTTTATAAGTAATGTCAAGAAATCTTCAGGAAATGTGTCGTAATCTACATCTTGAGACATTTTCGTAAAAAAAATATGTAGGGTGCATACACCCTTTTGTAAGGAATTTTTATAGTAAATAATGAGTGAAGATCAGTAAATAGATCTACATAAAAAATTCTTTTTTTGGTTTGTATTATGATAAAATTGGCAAAAACTATCACGTGACGCTAAACTAACAATTTTTTTTCGATCATGTGATCATCAACAAAATTCTTTAAGGTTCGTTTATGTTAGAGTTAGTGTTTAAACTAATGTTAAAGATTTAGGGGCTATAGTAAAATTACCCAAGGAATTTTTTTTGTTAGTGTATGAAGGGCTGTTTCTTAGGCAAAATATTGAGATAAAGACGATTTTTTAAAAATGAACGGTTGTTTTGAATTTTTCTGATCACGTGACATTACACTAAATTAAGACACAGCAACACGTGATCTGATCTCTTAATTCTGCCATATTCTAATACTAACCTTAACAATAATGCTGGCCATGCAGTGTCATTAAGGTTAGTGCTGGTCATTAGCTGTGTCGATAAGGCTGTGTCTGTAGCTTTTCCCTATTGCTTCGCTCGCCGTGTTAATGGCATGATCATCACGGTTCCAATAAAATTTTGCTTTTATTTATTAATGTGTATAAGAAAATTGTATAATTGAAAATTTTCGACAACATATGTATTTATATTTTTTTTAATTTTTTATGCTTAAAACAAACACTCTTTATTATTTTATTTTAAATTACATTATTTTGTTATTACTACATAATATACTTCTCCTGACTATGTTTATACTCACAAATACTTTTAATGATAATCATTGTTATGACCATTACGATAAGAATTTTGATTTATTTTGTCAAGACTACACAAATTTTAAAAGCTAATATCTTTTGATCTAAAAACAATATCAAAAAAAGGAAGCCGCAGTTTAACTTAGCAGCCTTATTTTTTAAAAAACTATAATACCTTTTTGAGATATATTGTTTTAAAAATATAGTATTTTTATATGATAACATAAAAAATATCAAAAATGGGACAAATATTAAATAATAATTAATAAATTTTCTTAAAAATACACTATATATTTTTTTTAATTAAATTCGAATTTAAAATAATAAATCGTTAAAATAAAAATCGGTAATAATTTCTACATAGTGAAGTCAAAATTTTACTATGTAAATCAATATTGATTCATTAAGTAAAGTTGTTCAGGAGATCAAAATACATGTAATGAAAGTTTTATATAAATTAAACAACATTTTATTAATACAATTTTACATATTACGATTGGACGAACAAAATTTTAAACATTTTTGCCTAAACGCAATATGCAAAAATGTATTAATGAAACTTTCAGAATATATGTATTTTGATCTCCCAAACAACTTTACTTAGTGCACTAATATCGATTTTTTTAGTAAAATATTGACTTTACTATATAGCAACTATTGACGAACCTGAAATGGGACAAATGTAGTCTTTAAGTGTCGCGCACTGTACAAATGCATTTTTCAAATTTATTTCACGTACCTACAAGACACCAGCAAAAAAAAATGGAATTCCATGAAATGTGACTAAGCTCGCTTAAGGAAACGAATTCAAAATCTGATAGATGACGCACAAAAGAAAGAAACTTTGTGGTTAGCTGACTTTTGATATAATCATGTTACTATACTAGTATTTGGTAGCACCTAAATGTCTCGTCGTCAGAAATGAAAAATTAATTGTAAGATTAAGAAAATGATATGTTGGGCACATTCGAGGTTTACAGGTTTTGCATACCAAGTTCGTACAAACTGCCGGTCAAATTCGTATGAATTTGACTGTCAGTTGGTATGCAAAACCTGTAGAAATCGATTAATAACTAAAATGGAGGAATTCAGTAAAGTAAAACATAACCTTGTGGATATATTAAGAGTTAAAATTTGATCGCATGCTATCATTTATTTTATTTATTATTCTTTTCGTGCTTATTTACCAAGTTAACTGTGTATTATTATGTGAAAGCAAAGAACACATTGCACATTCTTATTAAAAATATAAATATCTAACTTTGAAAGCAAAGTTTAGCATTGAGTTTTTATCAGTGCTAGAAATATTTAGACAAAAATACTACTTAATGTAACAATGTAAGTTTAAAATATAATATTTATTCACGGTTTTTCTTATATTTTTGAATCCATGGATGTTTTAAGACATCTTTCAATGGTAGACGTTTTATCGGGTCATGTTGTAATAACTTGTAATCAGAAAATTAAAATTAACACTTAACTTTGTTAGTCAAAATACTCTAAGTATTTAAAGAATAGTTACCGAGTTAATCAAGTCACAAGCCTCAAATGACAAATGATCAGGTAAAGTGAACTTAACTTTGGCTATTCGTTTATATGTTTCAGTATGATCAAGTTCTTCAAATGGTACGATACCAGTCAGAAGTTCGTAGCATAAAACACTAAGTGACCAAACGTCGATCTTTTCATCATGTTCTTTACCTTCGACCATTTCTGGTGGAAGATAATCCAATGTACCACAAAATGTTTTACGCCTAAAATATTAAAACAAAACTAATTGAATAATCACTCTTTTAATGTAAATTGAAATGTATAACTTACTTTTGACTTGTGTGTACAGACAATCCAAAATCTCCAATCTTAATTTCATCATTCAAATCTATCAATAAATTTTCTGGTTTTATATCCTGATGAATAATGTGTTTTTGGTGAATATAACTTAAGGCTCCAACCAGTCGTGCAACATACTATGTGGGAAAAGAAAAAACTGATATAATTTTCAGAAAACATTTCTTTATTTAAAATAATTTAATAGACATACCTTTGATGCTTTTTTTTCCTTAAGCCTTCCTGATTTTACAAGTTTTTTATAAAGTTCTCCTTTGGCTGCATATTCAAGGATCAAAACAAAGTACGTTTTATCTTGAAAATGCCTGAGAAGTCGAAGGATATTTGGATGCCTATCGTATTTAAGCATTTATCTAATCATTTGTTATTATATATTTATATATATTATTCATTGTTACCTTAAATTGGCCTGAATCTCTACTTCACGTCTCAATTGTCTTTCAGCATTTTTTTTAATTAGTTCTTTAATAGATAGCACTTTCAATGCTACTATATAGCCGCTAATTTTTTCTCTTGCCATATAAACACGGCCAAAATGTCCTTTACCAATACTACATCCAATATCAAAGCTTTTCAATGAAAATTGGGGTACTCTATTAGAGAATATAAAATATTAATTTATACCTCTTACGTAATCCGAAAACAGATTAAATATTTTCATCTTACTTAATAGGTGGACTAATAGTAATTTCTTTCTAATATTCTTCATTATACTTTTGATTCATGTGTATGTTTGATTTTCCTAATTGTAAACCAAATTACGATTTAATTTGTTGTTGACATCACATGACCCGTGAAAACGATACAAACAGAGCAGATCATATTTTGATTTTGTGATTAATAACTCTAGGAAGTCCAGAAAAATCACATCAATAATATTCTAGAAATAATTTTTAATTCATTTCATTCTCCTACGGCATCAAGATGCCGTCGGAGAATGAAGTGTTGTGGATGAATTATTTTAATGCTCATCAATAATTTTGCTATAGAACAGTTTTTCATCACTATAAATCAAAAATTGACATTTTTTTTTGTAATTACATCAATTACTATCACACAAAAATAATTTAGACTTTACAAATTTAAAAGATGGCATCGAAACTTTAACAGATAAAATTGAAGCTATTACTCATAATCATAATCAAAGTAGTTATTGTCAAGAAGTAATCAAACAAATTAAAATTTTGGTTTTAATAATTATCATTCCTTTATTGACAAAATCATAGCATATATTAATAATCAATTGTATTAATAATCAATTAAATTTATAATTATTATTTTAAGATTAAAAATTCCCGCACCTGGTAATTTCGGTCCTAAAGTTTCAAATAATTTCTGAAAAATTAGATATTACTTGTTGAAAAATTGACAATAGTATGTTCAACAATGGTTCTATTATTACCTGAGACTGCCAGGCTTGAAAAAAGTGAAGTTTATATGCTAAAAAAGATGGGTAAGGTATTAGGTTAAAAAGAATTTGGGTTTAAAAACACCAGATCAGAAAACCGCATTTGGAAATCATTGTGCAGAATATATTTTATTTTTAAAAGGAGATAACCTCAATTCGAATGTTAGCAAAGGCAGGAGAAAGATTCAAAACATAAGGATACAGATTTTGACCTTATTTTACATAAAATTTCAAATGAAAAGGTTGAGAAATTTGATCTTGATGAAACCTATATTAAATTTATATATCCCTTTTATTTTAATAAATACAGTATATCAATTATAAAATAAGATAAATTAACTACATAGCTTTTCTATTGAATGTACTCTTTTAACTACTTTTCTTAACACGCATATACTCAAAATAACGCGAAGATGGAGAAGATATCTCGACTAGTATAATTCGACAAAAATTTTTTTATTTAATATTAAAATGTTTCAAGATCTAAATTATTGTCAGTTTTCGCTTTGTCAACCATCAAAGAAGTCATAATTGTAAAGTTAATATCGCATAAACTAAATATAACAAAAAAATTTACTAGGTTCGAAATAATAAAATTAAGTGAATTAAAGCTTTCTCTAGCACCTAATTTAGTACTAGAAATTAGTTTGTTTGAATTTTACTTATTTTTATTTTTGGCTGAGTTTAAACCGTTCAAATAGAAATCAGTCCAAAAAAAGGATTTTTGTCACGATAATATCGACAGACGCGTTTGGACTATCCACCAATAAAGTAATTATATCAAGGTTAGACTGGATTAAAAAGAACAAGCATTGTAAACTCTGCAAGGTGAAGTCGATAGGAATTCCTTTCAAATAACTTTAACATTCAAAAAGCTATCAATTAATATTTTTATTCTTTGCTTTTAGTGATCAAATAAATCTGAGTCACACCTCAGACGGGGACCTGAACCTCTACATTTATATGTACCCAGAAATAACTAACAATGATAGATTTAATTTCAAGAGTAAGCAGTCAACGGTAATGAATGAATAATTTTTTAATTCAAATTTTCAATTTAAACCTTCAAGTTTTAGTACTTGTATTGTTGCTAAATTGAAATGATTAAATTATCTGTTCTGTATCGTGTTAGTGTTGTTAAAACTAAGAGTGGATTAAAAAAAAAGACTTTTACAATTAATAATTGATGTATTTAAACTGTCGGATTTCTATCGTTGTATATTAAAATTATCGAAATGAAATTAACAAATGATTGTTATTTAGAAATTATCAGAAACTTCGAATATGATCACCACATTTTATATAACTGCCTCTTAGTTAATCGTTTATTTTTCAATTTACTGTGCCTCTGTTATGGGCTGACCCTTTCAATATCTTATCTAAAGGTTCTATAAAAGTCATCTCTATTTTTCTTTTTTACATTAATGAAACTGAAAAGCATCAAATAATCTCAAGCGAGCATCAAGTCGATCTATCATGTATTCTCCAAAAAACTTTATTTGAATATACTGATTTTTTAGAGACTTATTCAAGCTACAAGACAAAAAATGCCATCTCATTGTGGTATCAAAATACTCAAGATATATCTAAACCTAGTTTAGAAAATTCAACTTTTGCTGCTATTCAAAACATGTTGTTTCGAAAATGTAAGCGAATTAAGAATTTTTACATTTCAGCAGCAACGTTTCCTTTAATTTCTAGTTCATGGTTCAATTCATCAGAATTGAGAGAATGCGAATTTAAATTTACAGAAATCAAAACATGAACGTAAACAATTGTATTAACTTAATTTCAGCACAGAACAAAAGAATCCAGACTATCCGAATTATGACATATAATGAAGATATACCACCAAATTGCGATGAGTCATTTTTAAATTTAATTAGTGCTCAACCTGAACTCAAGGAATTGGAACTGAAATATTTCAGCACTTCTAGATTTATGCCTTTATTGCGGCAAAAAATGCTTCAAACAAAATCTCAAAGTCTTCAAAAACTAATTTTACAAGGAATCAAATTTAATAAAAATAATCTCGCAATTCATATGCCAAATTTGAATTATTTATTTATAAAACAATCTTTTGGAAATCCTTTTGGAGAAGACAAAAATAATTTACCAAATCTTCAAAGGCTCGAATTAATTGATAATGATGTAGAATTAAATAGAACTATACTAAAGTCAAAATGCACATCATTAAAATTTTTAAAAATAATTGAGAAAGAATTAAGCAATGAAGTAAAAGAAGAAATTGTTTTTTTTTGCTTAGTCTAAATTATCCAAACATAATGACTTTATGTTATGTAACGGATAATCTCATGTTCACTTCTTCACTTAAAAAGTTTCACAAGCTTTGTCAACTACAATTAGGAGGGTTTTCTTATTATGATCTACCTTATAGTAGTCAAGATTATCTACAAGCTTTAGGTAGTTATTTGCCTAGCTTATTAACAATTCTTAACTTACTTAATATTTATGATTATAGTCATAGAGACTTGAATTATTTTTTACAAGATTTTGATATAGAAAGAGTGAAGCTGGAATTTTTTATATTACCTTTTAATGTTGAGCTCAACCTTCTTCCAAATTTAAGATACTTTATTAAAAAAGCCAAATATTTAAGGTATATAGAAATAGTGCAATCAGAAAATTACAACATTGAAAAACAGAAAAAAAGTGAGATGGAAATTATTGACCTCTGTCAAGCTCGAAATATTAAATGTATTTTAAAATCTCAGTTAGAGAGAGATAATGATTATTATTTCACATACGCAATAGAATTTAAATCATTCATAAGGAACGAAGAAGGTTGTGTGTGGATAAAGTTATTTCTAACACAAGTAAATCTCATAAAAAGTTAAGAATGTAAACCTTGGGTAATTATTTGTAAATTCATGTATTTTTTTAAAGTATAATTAACAAATTTTAATATTTAACTTAAAAGGAATTGTGAAATATATAAAAAAATTTTTTATTTAATATTACATAATTATAAATTTCAACTATTAAGCTCAACTTTTAAAAGAACTAATTGATTTAACACACACCTAAATAAATTTCTCCAATGTCGTCAGACGTTTTTCAGGTTCAGACTTCCAACTTGGAAGTTTGAGTCCGAAAAACGTTTGATGGCTCGGTCGTCATCCTAAATCAGTGATTTAGGAGTTTTATCACAATTCAACAGAGAGGCACAATTGTATTTAACGAACTATATATTCACCAAATTTAATAATATAAGCGGACTATTTTTAATTTTTAATAGTTTGGGTTAGTCACAAACTAAATAATAGAAGAAAAAAAGACAAAAAAAAATGCAAATAATAAATTCATGAATTCTCTTCTTAGAACAAATATATTTTTTTCTATTATCAAATGATAATATCTGATTAGCTTAGCCGATTATTTTATAATACTGTATAAAAAATGTATCAATTTTTTTTAAGATTATCAAAAGGTGAATGTCTGTTTGATCTTAAACCAATTACAAGAAAATTGGCGTTTCTGGAGGAAGGTATACTATACCAGGTGGTCTGGATTGATAGTTTGAGAAGTTCTTTCAGTTCTGAGGGGTGTCAGAAAGATAGATATTGGTTTTTAGTGAACTTTACAAGAATAGAAAATTGTAACGTAACTCATTGACTATATTTTCATGTAGTTGGTATGTTATATAGTGTTAGACAATTGTTTAATAGATCTAAGATTGTGGCTTTTGCTTGGGGCCTAGGTGTTTTAGCATTTTATTTGATATTTTTGAGAGTCTAGTGGCCTTTGTATTGGGTGCTTCTTTGATTATAGTTTCTAGTTCAGAGGATGTGATCTTTGTCATGATTGTATCATACTATGTTAGGTCTATTGTTTGGATTGGTTTGTATTTATTTGCCCACTCTTTTCATAGTTTCATTTGAGTTAGATTTGATTTTGTCTAGTTTTTAAAATGTTTCTGTATAGCAGTTTTGATCTTCTGAAGTTCTGTGATTATATTGTTAGATGTTCGGATATTGTGTAGTATTACAGGATCTGTGTGCTTTTTAAATACACTTTTTATCATTTTAGATGTATTGTTTTGGAAGTTTTGGTATCTGCGTTCGATACAGTTCTTTATATATAGGTTTTTTACTGTTTGGTTTTCTATGTTTCTTGCTATTTTGATTTGTTGTTGGGCTGTCTTGAGTATTGTATCTACTGTATTTCTTCCATAGTTGTGTTGGGTTGTATTTGTATTTGTGTGTTGGATAGGTTGTTAATTGTTGTATGAAGTTGTGTATTCGGTCCATATTTGTTGCTTGTTTGTGTAGGCTTATGTGTCTTCGTGCCTTATTTATATATGTTAGTGCTTTATGTAATTTGGTGGCTGTAGGTAAAAATAGGTGGTTAGTATTTTTGTTGCTTTGTATATATGTGGGATATGTTTGTTTACACTTTGTTTAATACAGTTTGCTAGTATGTGCCATGTATTGTTGAAGTTTTTTATGCTAAGGCTTAGTGGATCTGTTTTCGATTATACAAGTTTTGCTTTAATTATATTTGCAAATTGTTCTCATGTTTCTGTGTTCATCATATCATAGTTGTAGATTGTTTTTTTTTGTTTTGGTTTTGTTTCTTTTGTGTATATATGATATATTGACTGATGTGAAGATTATTTTGTGATCACTATTTGTAATCTGTGTAGCCTCTTTGAGTATTGGGTTGTGAAAGTTTTCAATTGAGTTTTTTGAAATCTATATCTCATCTATTTGGCTGCTGGTTCATTGAGAGCTCCATGTAAATTGGTTTAGTAGAAAAGTGTTGATTAATGATAGCATATTTGAATTTTTTAGATATTGTATTAGATTGTTGTGTATGTGTTTTTTGTTGAGATTAGGTTAAAGTCTCCTAGGATGATTGGTTTGATCTTTTGTTTATTTGCTTGTTCTGCCTATTCTATTATTTTGGATTGGATTAAGTTATTGAGTTGTTTGTTGTTGCAGGATAGGTATGTTGCTATGATACAAAATTGGTTTTTGTGTGGTAAGAATATGTCAATGCTGAGTGTTGTGCCTGGATAGGTTTGTATATTATGTATATATAGTTGTAATTTCTTATGTAGTGCTATTGCAATTTTCATACATGATTCTTGTTTTTTGGCTGTTGTTGCTGTAGTGTTGATGTGTAGAAGTAGTATATCTTGTTATGTAGTTGTAAATTTGTATATCTTGATTCTGTGAGCTTGGTTTCTGTTATGCTTATTATATTTATGTTTTTCTTTTTGCAGTAGTCAAGTCATAGTTGTCTTTTGATATCGTCGTTGAGCCCACATATATTGTGTAAAGCTAAGTTAATAGTATCTGTTTGTATGTAGTTGTTTGTATTGTATATGTTGATTGTATGTTTGTTTTTGTTATAGTTTTTTAGAATTGATATAGTTATACGAAGATATCCCAAGTTAGTTTGGGAAAGGAGGAAGTTCTAATATGTAGTTTGGAATTTGTGGTATTTCGAAGTGCTGTTGAAGAATTGCTATAGTAGAGTTAATTTCTTTTTGTTGTTTAATAGGTATATTGATATAGATTTTGTCAGTAATTTTTTTAAGTGCGTCTTGTAGTTCAACTAGGCTTTTTGGTATCATTAGTTTTTTGTTAGTTTTGATCTCGTGGATTTCGTTAGGTGTGATAGGTATCTTGATTCAGTCTAATGGGATATGTTCGAAGTAATATTCTTCTTTAAAGAGCTTAGCTATTTCTACTAGTATTCTAGATGATGTAATAGATATTGTGATATTGAATGCTTTGATCTCTGTAGGGTCTAAATGTAGTCTTGGTTTGTTTATCAGATTGGCTGTTAAGATTGCCTTGTTTATGGTAAGTTTATCTTGTATTTTGTCTTTATCTTTTTGAAGAATTTTTGCGCTATTTTGTCATCAGTGATTGGATAAGTAAATTTAGTATATAGTTTGATTCTGTTTGAATCCTGTAGTAGTACAAGCTTTTGTATAAAGAAGTCATTTGGTATACTTCTGAACTTGTAGTATTTTCTGAGAACTTCTGCTATATCTTTAATATTTGTTTCTTCTAGTGATAGATCGATAGAGAAGAGGTGTCTAACTCCACTATTTAATTTGTAGTAAATTAATGGTAGAGGTTCTTGTTCTAGTGGTAGAGCAAAGTAGGTTACAGGTATTTTAGTAAAGCTGTAGTGATTGATGAGTTTTTTTTTATAGAATCATAACTCTTTTAGTTGTTTTGGATCTGTAATAGAAAAATAGATTTTTAGTTTTTCTTTTAGTTTTGATAGTTTTTCTGAAAGTTTTGGTAGTGCAGTAAAGTAAGTATCTAATAAACTAAGGAAGTTAAAAATTACTCTAAGAGAGTTAACAATTGCTTTTGTTTGAGATTTTTGCTTAATTAGTAGTTCGAAAGGTAATATATTCTTGGTTTGGCTGTCTATTTCCTCAGAAGTTTTAGGTAGTTGTTGTTATTGAATGCTATATGCTTGATTAACTGCTGTTTGAATTTGTTTGTAGTCTGTGATAGATTTTGCACGGATGAAGTTTCGGCTGTATTTAATTATCTGATATGCCTTGCTTGGCTGGAGTTGTCTAAAGTTGAGGTTTGTAAAGTATTCTATCATTAATTTTT